ATATGGCCAGCTCGTTGGTGAGGTACGAACCCACGATTAACAACGTTCGATGGCTTTATATCTACTCGGGCACTGATGAATAAAAGGAAAGTCCACTCTTAATAGTTATTCTACGAAGAAATGCGAAGTACCAGCTCACATTGTGTTAATTAGGCTTTTCATGGATTCCATTATTGTTTGTTTATGGTTGTCCATAAATAAACACTGATGGACTCGTCTCATAATTTATCATTCAACATTAATAACAGACAAATAATTTTAATGATTATCGAGAATCACAATTAGAGATGGCGAAAATCACTTTTTTCGAATTCGAGTATTCGAACTTAATTACTTTAAGTAACTTATTTTGTTAATAATTTCTTTAATATTGATTATTTAATTTGTTTTATTTATTTTAATACATTAAGAAATTAATAAAATAAAACAAGAAAGTAAAAAGAAGAAGAATTTAGTCTACTAAAGTTTGATGGTGACATTGATAAATTTGCACTTGGAGACTGTACCTCAGAGGATGAGTCGTTTACAGCAAGAATCAGCCGTTCACAAAATAGTATAAATATACCAGTCAAAACTCTTCGTTTCTACCCAAGTGCATCAGTTTTCTCTTTCCTCGCCGTCGATACCAAAAGCATCCTAGAAAGAAGGCATAGAATGTCTATATACATATATCTAACTTCTGCACTGCAGCTAACCACATGGAGTTTTCCGGATTTTCACGACTCTAACACTTTAATAGAACGAGTTTTCCCATAGAAAGTCCTTCCGGAAGGCACCCTCTTGGGAGATCACCCATGTATTGAGTTGCCGTATCCGTTCAATCCTACAGTCGTACAATATAATTAAATATCTCATGCAAGATTCGTTTCAAAAAGGGGTAAGTAATGAAGGCATCCGTTACAGAACGATGGATTATCGGATATTCCTTGTGTGTGCATGCGTACATCGGTAAATCTGTGTAAAATGGACACTTTACATGAAGTTTTTTGGGGCAAACAATTGCATAACATAATCGGAGTAAAGAAACAAAATTCCAAATCATAATAAATGCTGTAGCTTTCCGCTTGGATCTTCTTTTGTTAGCTTCTCAATGACAAGAATTACATAATTTTTTCCTTTGTTAAAATTATACTTTCATCTTTTACAAATTAGCTGTAATAATGTCCGTTTTTCCCGAAATGTAGAATAATTAATTAATGAAAACAATATAATATGAAATGCCAATTCTGTTTAAAACTGAAGTGAAAAGAAATCGAGCTGAATTTTTAAAAAAATAAAACTTTAGTATTGAATTTATTATATCCTACTTATACGATGTAACAGACTAGAATAAAGGCTTGAAAAGGGGAAACTGTTTTCGCGAAAACTGATTTTTTTGCGGTTAAACGGATCGTAAAGTGAAAATTGTCGTGGCATTTGTCATAAAAAGTCAGTGGTGATGGAGCAACAATGTGAAATTTGGTGTTAAATGAGGAAAGGAAAATTGATATCAAAACTTATCCAAGGTTAAGCCAAGTTTATGGAAACAATGCCTTATAAATAACACGAGTTATTGAATTATTTCACTATTAAGGAGCACTCTTTATTCTTTCTTATTTCATACAGATGATTTTATAATACGAATTTTTGTCAAATTTTCAACTATTGATTATATTTTGCTTCTAGAAAATAATTCACGAATTTTTAATAGCAATATAAAAGATTCAGAAACAGCATCTTGAGAATTCATTCAATTCATCTTGAGAATTCATCAATATAAAGCATTCAGAAACAGCATCTCTCTATCAACAGCAATTTGAAAGCATAACTTTCAAATTGCTGTTGATAGAGAGATTCTTAGGCGAAACTTAATCTAATAACTAGTCCAAACTGCATACAAAAATTTAAATGTAAAATATATTGATATTAGAATTAAATATAAATGTTTTGTAACTCCTGAAGCTAAAGTTTGTTTACTAAGTTAACACAATGCAATACTTGGGCGATCTGCTTAGGAGGATCTTTCGGGAGGTCTTTTTAAGGGAAACAGGCCATTATTTAGGCGTTACAGCGGAGAAAACCCGGAAGCCCGTCCTAGCAAAGCGCGAACCCACGACCGAACTCCCAGTGTTTAGGGTACGAAGACCGCTCGTCCACCGGTGGGCACTCTGGAGCTAAAGCTCAGAGATTAAGGTCTCTCTAGTGACTGTCAGGATACAGCTTGGCAATTGCTGTATCCTGAACTCTGCACGGACGTGCCTCTGATCTTTGATCTTTACATGCAGTGTAGTTTTCATCTGTGAATTTTAATTAAGTATTTTCATTTATTTTTAACGTTTTAATATAATTTATTATCAATGATCATTAATTAATTTATGCAACTATGACGTAAAAGGGTTTTACAGTATGCAATAACTCAATATCTTAGCTGAGGATACGTTATACTTTAGCAATGATTATCATACTTTGATGCTGAGTTGGACAAATATTACTTTTTGGAAACGTTAGATAGGTATTGTACAAATTTATGAAAGTTGCATTGAGTCAAGCGTGGAAACACCTAAACTTAGTCCTCATTATGACGTTAATAGAGACGTAAATGTTAGAGTTAATCGAAATTCCCAATTCAAAATCGAAACGTGGAATAAACATTCACGAAATTACAAATCTTGACGCAATAACGACGTCTTAATGTAACTTCAGAAGGCTGTGAAGCGTCAGTCTACGGCTCTAGTACCACAGGTTCGATCTCCGGATCAGAAATTTCAGAAATTCTTTATTGTGATCAGTCTCGGATATGTCCGACTTCGTCCGTCACTATCCGGTCGCCGCCATTGTGAGCGTGGTCGAACCTCATAATAGGTGTGGGGAAAGTACAGCATCAAAGGAAGATTGTGTATATCTTTGGATATTCTCTCCTATCAAAATAGATATTGATTAGTATAGTGATCATTAAATAGTATGTAAATTCTATCACACTGACAGATTGTAGTATTGATTCTATTGCTAATTATTGCTAACTTATTTAGTGTTTTTATGCTTACGTTATGCTATTGTGATTTTAAGAATTTTTAAAATTTATTTTAGTCATTGGCATAAAATCTAAAAAAAATAATCGGCATCTACAAGTTAATAGTAGAGTAGACAAAGAAAAATTGTCGCGAGAAATTTCAACAATGGCATTTTGTAAATTTGGCAATAACAAAAATAATATCAGATAATATTCAGATTGCTTCTTATAAAATTTTCGAATGTGGCATGACTTTTTGTAGTTATGAGAGTATAATCTTCCGAATTTAACAAACGAATATTATTGAATTATTTAGAAAAGTAATTATCGTAATATTAAACAATTAAAAATTGAAATTTGGTTTGCACAACTCATGGGCGATCTGCCAAAGAGATGCCTCCCAGGAGGACTTTATTTGGGAACCGGTCCCTATTTATGTGTTACGCACTCGAAGAAAATAAAACACAAAACTCTTTGTGGCCATCCCGTTGGTGAGGTACAAAACTGAGTACCATTGTTCGGTGCCCTAAAAAATAATTGAATTTGGAAGAAGAGTAATAGAAAAATCTTAATGTCCTTTTTGGTCACAAAGACGATATAAAAGATTATTGTTTCTGTCGAAACAGATCGTTTGATATATAAAGTTTCAACCTGTTTCAACAAGAACAATGTTTTTCATTTATTCTATTTTGTGTGAAGAGAGAGATTAGTTTTCTTTATTTCATATTAGAATGAACAATTTCCATTATTATAGAACTAGCAGCATTAAGATAAAATATTCGAATACATATCTCTTATTATTATTATTATTTTCTTATATACCTGTTGTTAAAAGTTCAAGTTTCGTCCAAATAGATATTTAAAAAAATCTCTTCAACATATAATAAATTAGTTGTCACTTTTCTGTGTATATATTGTCTACTTGGACTTTGTTTATTAATAGGACTTATTGTACTGGTGAAGTTTGTGATTAGCAGAGAGGAAATCTTAGTCAAAAGTCTTTATTTTCACTATTTTGTACTGACTTTTGACTAAGATAAAGTAAAAAGTAAGGACGAAGAGGTAAGAGAATTAGTTTCACTTTACTCTGTAGAATTAGGGGGTTTTTTGTTAGACAATGTAAAAAAAAAATATATATATATTTCCTATCGTAAGATTCATTTTTAATATGTTGGAAAGTTATTTCGATTTGAAGCAATTTAGATTTATCGAATTTTTCTAATTCCTGCTGCCGTTTAAGATGGTTTTCGAAGAGAAAATTTAGTCTTTTGTTGTTAGTTTAACGCCGGTTTTGTATTTTAAAATAGCGAATCAGTGATATACAGCTGTCAATTTTTTGAACTTCGATCCCTGCAGTGGGACAATAGGTTGTTTCGTTTTTTAGCCCACGAAAATCACTTCAGATTACCTTTTATTTTCTCCATAAAATTATGGTCACGGTAGATATATAGCGTGGCCCAAAACATAGTTAACGGAGGCGTACTCTTAAAATACAATATAAATCGGTTAACTAATCTTTGGGCCACCCTATACATTTTCAAAATTTCAAAATATTTACAACATTACGATGAATTTTGTTCCTAAATTGTATATAACCAAACAACGAGAGAGAGAGAATTTAATACTTTAATTGTCAATTCCCATGAGTTTCGTTAGATTTTCAAAGAGCGAATATTTAAAATATTCAAAGAAAAAAATATGGTTTCTTACAATTTAACTTTATTAAGTACAAAAGCATTTATGAATAACGAATACAAATAACTAACTAATAACAATAATATCTCGGACCGGATAACGGATGCAGAAAAATGCGGTTAGAAAGTAACCTGGTATATAGATATACAAAAATATCCACCATTGAAAACATTCGGCCGGATACGTTAGTACGTTAGACTCGATTAAAAAATCTGTGGTTAAGGCACTGGACAAAAATAACGAGAGAATAAAATAATCGCCAAGTCATTCGACTCGCGACACGCAGCACCAATTATATATAGACTATATATTCTGTTGTATGGCCGGAATTAACAATAGAACACCGGATTAGAGTTTCTTCCATTTTTATTCACGGATAGCGGATAGCTCCGATCGAACAGATCCTCCAAGTACTGGTTGCAGAAAAATATATTTAAACGGCATGTTTATAAATAACTAAATCATTTAAATAATAATAAAAGAGATCGAACGGGTGGAAACCCTACACACTTTTACATTTCGATTTTCTGCACTTTGCAGGATCGTTAGCATTTACTAGACTTTTTCTTATAACTTTCTCGATCCAAGTAGCGATCGATCGGAGCGGCGTAATTGTTATTCCATAGTTTTAACGTTACAGATCGATGTTTAACGTAAGTATACACTCGATCTGGTGGTGGTACCCTCGCGAAACTTCAACAAACTCTCGGATATTCTTCGATTTTTCGAGAGATAATATGGAAATTTAGAAGCATTTTAAAATAATCCGTATGAAAAAATAATAAAATCTTTCCTTCCGATGTTTTTTAAACAACAAATAAATTGTCGTCGGACGGATCCGGAGTAGCTCCGTGCAATATGAAGAGATGCTCTTAAGACTTGGCTTCCGCTTTCTGTATTCGCTGCTCCCATTGTGCTATCAGTGCGCTCTTACGTCTGACGTTCGACACGACCGAATCCTGTAACACAAAAATAGGTGATATTATAGACAGTCTCACGATATCTGGTATAAAAGGACACGACACGACCGGTTCTTTCCGTATGATGGACAATGTCAACATTTCACTCTTCCCGTCGAGATCTTTAAGGAATAAAAATTAATGACCCGTTTAATAAGCAAAGCAAAATTTACTTTCGATAGCCGGTGTTAAAGCAATTCTAAAAATACATATGAACGTTTATTGCCACGACCGAGAGACACGCAACAAGAGATCTTAAGAAGGTTACGAAGAAAGCCGCCTCCTTTGAGTTGTTATGACAACCGACACTAAAAACTAATCCAAATATACTGAATGATTTCTAGAAAAGAATTAAAGAATATATAAAAATTTCTATTACTAACGTGATTATCGTTCTCATCCAAAAGGTTGGGATTGCTGTTGGATCTATCCAGATGAGTTTCTTCAGAGTCACCATTGGTAACTAACAGATCTTCATCAGATACCAGGGAGCTGAGGTTGGGTTGCGACAGACCTAGAAGTCGAGCCCTCTGTCTTCTGAAAGAATAAATAACAATTCGGAATAAATTTTGATAGCGCAAGTTAAGAGAAAACTACGAACTAGTAGAGTTATTTTTATTTTACCAGAAGTAAGCGCTTAGACATAACTTTGAATAATAAATAACCGAGTTCGACGACCGTTTCTACCTTCTTACATAAATATTCGAGCGAACATCAAACCAGTCTAAACGTAAGAACGGACACACCCGACCTTTGTGTTCTTTACGCTAGTTTAATCCGGTCGTTTATATCCTTTACACCGTTGATAGGGATCGACGCTACTTACCGAAATTTTGGCTCGAACGAACACGGATGTGTGAGTAATTACAACATTCAAGGTTTACTACCCTCGTTAGGTTATCGCACGTATTTTATCGGCATTAAAACGCCAAAAATACGATTAAAAAAATGAGAGCGTGTTAAGAGTTTGCTGACTTCATAAATCACTCGAGATCAAAACTTCTGACGTAAACTATCATTTTCGGTTCTTCCCCGTTGCCGTTACTGATATAGTTATTGCCACGGCCTAGATAATTAATTTGTTACGCTCGTTTCCACTGTGGAAGAAAGTCGTAAAGGTGCGTGCAACTTCGCGTTTCGTCTGGAACAAAACGAAGAGTCTGGCCTTTTGTCGTTATCCGTCTGCAGTGTAAGAAAGGCATTAATAATTTCATAAGTTCATGGTCTTTTCGTGCCGTCCCCGAAGAAAGAAAAAGAAGAATCCCGTTTACCTTAAATCGATTCACCCTATCGAACACGGAATAATCGATTTTTCGTGTTTCACCTTCCCGTTTCCGATACCGGATAAGAAGGGAACAAGTTTTTCTATTTAAAGAACGATCACGGATCGTGTTTTCGCACAATCTTCTTCCGCATCGACGTACGATTTACATTTCGACCTTTCACCCGATAATAGATAAATAAATATCGAATCGGATTCGGATCACAGATCGAGAAGTCGCAACACATTCAAATGGCTTTTCTAAATTTAATTTTTTAAAATATATTCTATTCTCGTTATCTGTCAAAAAAGGAATGCAGGAAAAAAAAGAAAAAAATATGGTGTTTTGGAAATGTTATTTAAGTTAAAAAAAATGGTAAAAACTGGAGAGTAGATCGAGCCGATCGAAGATCGAAAATCAAAAATATGTTTACTATCTTATCAAATGATCTCACTTAAAAAAGAATTTATGTAGTAATAAATAAATACAATAAAAAAATAAAACACAGCACAGAATTCAAATTAGGAAAATCAAAAGGATCTTGATTCTCTCCATTGTTTGTGTCAGAATTAGGAACCCGCTCTTAATCAGAATGCCGCATACAACCCAGTTCTGAGGAATGCCATAAAACCGCACGTAGCATTGTAGCTTATATATATATATATATATTTAGATAGATGTCTTCATCGGAAGAAAATTAAAGAAAGAAAAAAGGAAATTAAAAAAGAAAACATACTTTCACATCTCAAAATTTATGACAAACTTAAAACTATATATTATTATACACTAGAAGCTGCACAGGTTTATGCAAAATAGTTTATAGACTGGGTGTTATGTACGTTTGTTAAAAAGAAAATTCATTAGAAGATTCATTTTTATTGCGATCGATTCATTGTAAAGAAGCAAAATAACTTCGTGAAGTTCATCTCGGACGTTTGCAATAAATTAGGCGAGCGCACGAGAATAATAAATAAGAATTAATTAACAATATATATTCACGAAAAGAGTTTCCATGCCACGCATAAATGATAACGTAGAAGTAATTTCAAAGAAGAATATTCTGATTTAGATACAAAGTTAAGAAAGTTCAATGCGGAGGAAGTCCGTTCACCCGATAACATAATAAGCTACAGATAAACAGATTTACGATAATACAATCTTGGAGCTAACTGATGAAATAAGATAGTTTCGATCTGATATAACCCAGCGAGTAGCATAATAAAGCCTAGTCCAGTTTCTTATCGTAAATTCTAACTCGGCTCGTTCTTAAAAAAAGAGTTTTTGTATCCAGAGTCTGCAGCTACGATTCAGATATTTTGGAGTGAGCAAGTTCATCGTACACAACGCCACCGATCCGTGGGCGAAAGAGACGCACCGACGCACAATAACGACCTCGAATTTCACTGGAAAATTTAGTTAATGGAGTCTTCTCTAAGTAAACGTTAAAACTTAATATGGGTATCTTCCCCCTCTCTCTTTCTGTGTAAGAAAGAAAATTCCGAGTTAAAATCATCTTGCGGGCGATTTCAAATCCATAGAATCTTACTTTTTTGAAAGTTATATAAAAAAGAAATACTTTACGACTTGTATTTTTCAAGAGATTTCGGCATACTGTGCTTATATTGTCTTTTTCTGCCATAGAGAGTGATAACCAGATACATGTCCGTAATGAATAAAAATTGAAGACGATCGGCGTTAAGATAGGAGATTGTTACGGCGTGGCACACATAGTGTCGTGTTGTGATGATAATCCAAACCAACTATGCTCATTGAAGACCACACAACGGATTCCGCTGAAGATTGGAAAGGATTTCTGTTCGAAATTCCAGAAGAAAATTGTTGAATTTCAAGATAAGATTCAAATCAGTTTTATGTTTTTACTCGTGGACATTTTATGATACGAAATTCTTTTAAGTACGGACATACGCCCAATATATCTAGTAATTTTTTTATCTACCCGGTGGGGAAAACGATAAAAAATGTGTGTAAATTCCTCTCCTGTATTTAGGAGGGACAGAGGGAAGAAATCGAGTGAAGAAAATTCGCGGAATTGAGACATTTTTCCTCTTTTTTTTTATAAAAATGATTGGATAATTGGATACTTTTTTGCTCGTGTAATGGGACGTATCAATGCCATCCATTAGACGGATGAGGCGGGAAACTACTGTATACAGAGTTCTGCATCATTCGCTAAAAATTACTTAAATCTCGTAAACCTGATCAGAAAATATGATTCGCTCAGACTGCGAAAAAGAAATTATTCTTCAATCATTTCTTCTTCGAAAGGTTTTCGTGTGGTGCCTTCGTGATATATTAACAATTAAAGGCAGGCCATACAGACGTTACAGTGTGTTATTTCCGTTAGAAATACATAAGGTTTGCCGAAAATAATAATATAATTTTAGGACATTTTCAAGTGCGATTCTGTATAAGGAATATCAGAAAAAATGTCATATTCATTGCAATCACAAGTTAATCGATGCCCCCTTTTCGTGTTGCTCTTTATGATGTGCAAAATAATTAGGACAATTGTTACGTTATAAGGAAGAAATAAAATTCCTACTCGACAGTCACTCCTTCAACTAAATTATGCGCAATATAAAATACTTGAGTTGTCAATACAAAATACTTTAACCGTATTATTTTTAAATTAATTTAAATGTTTTTTTCCTGGTGTGCACGCACAACGAGTACTTAAACATTAGTTGTTAAGTATGAATTTTATTCATACTTAACTCTACTTCACGATACTTCTTGTGCTGCACTTCATGATAATTGTAATATATTATTGAAGGTAGCCGAGATTGTTGTTGCAGCAATCAAAGTGACATCTAATGCACACATAAAATAGCTTTATTTATGAAAAGAACGATGGTCATTAAGGTAAAGAAACATCTCGTGATGATAATATGTTCAGATCTCTTCAGATTTTCGAAATTAAGAGTAATTTAGTATCATTATGGATGCAAGCAAAATACGAAGGCGTTTTAAAAGCAGACAGGGAAAAGACTGTTATACACGAAAGCTCATAAAAACTGGATTTCAAGAGTCAACAATTAATAAAACTTCGAAATATAGTAAATCATATATATATATCTATTGAATTTAGCTAAATAATTATAAAAGCCATCGAATTAAATTATTCAGAGTAATTTAGTCTAATAATTTCACTCTGGTTGGAGATGGAATGAAAATATCTGGTGAAGAAACAAAGGAAAATAACAAGCAAATGGAAGTGTCATACACAAATTATTTCCAATTTTCAAAGAAAATTGTTATAAAAAGAGATGATATTTTTTCAGCGAGATCTTGCGCCATGTTATTACTAAAGAAGAAACAATAAAATGTCTTCAAGATACCTGTAATTGTGTTCAATTTGGCTAAGTAGTTTCTTTTGTACGAGTCTCATTGAAAATCCAAGGATTACAATTAAATACAAGCTTCGAAAGGTAAATCGTGCAAAGAAAGACCGATTTCAGTTGTAATTTCGTGTAAATTATGTTAAACACATGTTCAACAATAGTCTATTCAATGTTAAAACACGTTAGAAATAACTGAAGCTATAAAAGAAATATGTTCAGTTACTCGTAATTTGGAGCATTAAGAGAAGATAAAATGAGATAGCTGAAGCTACACGTAGACCTATTTTTTAATTAATACCCGTAAATTATGTTCAATTTCGAAATAAATATAGTTTTAGCGAATGGTAGAATTGTATATTTATATACTGTATATCACGTTATCCTTATAATAATTGTTATCGAGAAATGAGCTACTTGTATATAAAAAAAATTACATAAAATACAAAATAAATAGAAGGGAAACTAACCTGAGTTCATCTTCCCTAGCTTTCATTTCTTTCAGTTCTTCTTGTATTTTCGATTCTGCCGTGGTTGATCTCCTAGATACCATGGAAGCCATGTGCCCATTAATTTTCCTCACTTGTGGTGGTCGAATCTCGTAATAATCCGAATTGGGGCTCTCGTTGTAATAATTTCCGCCAGAAAATGCGGTGAAGCCTATGTCCTTGCCCTTGCTTTTGATGAACCTGCGCATGCTGATGCCCCTGCCCGGAGGAGGAGGATTACCTACTTTTCGACCGACGGGGATATTGTTGGCCGATGAGCTACTAGAAGTGGGCGAGGGAGATTTGCCATTGAGGGCATGCCCATTAGTCTTTTCGTAGATCTCTACTGTTGGAGATGGAGATTGTTTGCGATCTGCTCCGTCCGGCGTGCAATTGCCAGCCTCTCTGATTCTAGTCACCTTGGAGTCCGTTCTTTCTTGGGATATAGTCTGGATGTGACCAGATTCGCGCAGGGCCATCTCGCGTCTAGTCTGTTCTTCGATTTCTTGTTGGATTCTCGTCGTGGCTAACAAACGTTGCGTATCGTTGCCGGTTACGGGACTTTCCGGCATTTTAATCGGTTCCTCGAGTTTTTTCGGCTTTTCCTTCACTTCACCATTTCGAATCAGTCCTTTTTCTCTCTTCAGTTCTTCTTCCCTTTCCCGTGCCAATCTGATCTCTCTCTCTATCGGCGACTCTTTAAGAGCACGATACTTAGAACTATCCCGTTCGTCATCTCCGTCCTCCAAAGGTTTAACCTTGATTCGATCCTTTCTTCTGTGACAGAAGGCGTAACCGATATTGTAAGTCTGTCCGACGTGCAAAGAATCCAAAGAGACTGCTCGCGTCATGCTGTTCTTGGCGTGGAAATTAACATTGTTGGTGGATCCTCCATCGTCTTCCAGAAAGTCTTCGGATTTGGTAGATCCATCCGACTGAATGGACTCGTTGACAGTTTCTTGCGGTTTGGAACGAGAGGCAGCCTGTTCTCGCATCTGCCTCAATTCTTCTTCTCTTTTTCGCATCTCGCGAATCTCCATAGCAATCTTGCTTTCCGCCGCGTGATTGTTAGGAGGACGTTTAGATCCCTTCTTTTCCTTGACTTCCGCTTCTCGACGGGCTTCTATAATTGGAGCATCAGTTTCGCGGCGAATTTCTGGACTCAGATTTAGCTGCTCGAATTCAACACTAACTTCTTCGCTAGTTTCTTCCTTGGGTTTCGACGTTTCCACAACGCTAAGGTCGATAGAGGCAGTAGACACCACATTAGATCCCACTTCCATCTTATCGGCAACTTCCGTCGAATTTGAACTTTCGGGTTCTGTCTCGTCGACGGCAATCGTTTCCGTATCCGGAGCATCATCGCCCGTTTCACGAGCTTCGTCTCCTCCAAAAGTAATCAAGTCCTGGTCGGACATTTTCTCGTTAGAGACGTCTTCCGAAGCTTCTTCTTCCTCCTTTTCCAACCGATCTGGCTCTGCGGGGAAAGAAGATAAATAATTACTAAGAGGATTGCTCAGCAGAAAGCGATAGAGCAAATGACTGGATGTCAGCATGTTACGGATCTAACTGGTAACCGGGGCGCTTTGTTTATTCCCGAAAGGCGGAAACTCCACCCAACAAACGACTCGAGGTTACGCAAAGACGAAAAAAAGTCAGTGGACGACATTCCGCAAAATCTTCGAGCATCTTCCGTCGCGGTCCGGTCGACTCCGAACGGGTTTGCTAACAGAACGAGAAGAGGATACGTCCCCGACCCCGGAGGAGCTTTCACGCCTCCGGTCGTATCGCACCTCATGCGCGACTCCGAGCAGTCGACCCAAACGCCACGACAAAAGGGGAGGTAAAAAACAACCCAAAACCAACCGGAAGTGGCCAACCGCCGCACCGGAATGAATAATTTCTCGTCGTAACAGAAAGGATCTGCAAGAGCGTCGAATGCGTAAGATTAGCTGGAGTAGGAGATTGTCGATATGTGACTTAGGAGCGACGAAGTAGAATCCGAGAGAGCACGCATCGGTACCTGTGAATGCTGGGTTTAAACGCTTTAGGTACCGAAAACGAAAGTACAGGACAGGTAGAAATCCGTGAGAAACCAAAATCGTCCGGCAGCGGTCGTCCCGGTTTCGTTAAAACTATTATCTCAAACAATAGTCTTCCAGGAAACGTAAAAAAAGAGGAAAATTCTCCTGGTATAATTTCCTAACGTGCAGTCGAAAAAAGTGGGAATTCTACTCGGACGGAGGAACTTAACGCACCTGTCTCCATGAGAAACGATGTTCAGAAGAAGAAGGGCGACGTAATGGGCGATCACCTACCTTTTTCCCGGGGGAGAGAGTCGAAGGGAGAAGTATCGTACCAGCGACATGAGAGTCGGACCTTCGCCAGCAAACTACAATGGAACAACGCCACGCAGACGCGATCCAATCCTGGGTCGAAGCGCTTAGTTCAGCCAGGTGCGGTCGGCCAATGGCGTGCGGTGTAACAAAGTTCTACCCGACCCGCGTAACCGGTCGCGGCCACCGCCGAGGACCAAAAACGTCGGACGATAACCGAAGACTCGTCAATCCGTTTTCGTCTACCTGAAGCAGTGAATTCCTCCGTCCGTATTCTCTTCCACAACAGGGGATGCGAACAAACTCGTCACGCGCACCATCAAAATATCCGGCAGGATTATAAAATAGGAATGAACCGGAAGAGCGGAGGCGCGCCTCGATAGGCTCTCGTCCGGTTACGACCCGGGGGCAAAAATGTCTAATCTGGTCGAATATCGTGACGCGTGGTGTGAAAACCTGGTAAGAAATGCCCCAGGCACATTATAAAACATTTTTTCTATCACGTGCAAAGCGTGGGTAATCGGATGTAATGCCGAGTTCGACATCTTTCCATCTACTCCCAGCCATTTGAAGTCGGTAAAAGAATAAAACAAGTACTCGAATTTTGATAGAGATACACGAGAGTAACCAGCACCTGCCTAAAGAAAGTATTTGGATAAAACCACTGCTCATCTGTTGCGACTCGCAGCCTACATTTAAGACAATTATCGAACGATAAAAGATGATAATAAAACTGGAGTTGCAACTGAGGATAATTACAGCTAAGGTGGAAAATGGATGTCAAAAGAAAGGGGAACGTACAAGGTTAAAGTTGTTTATATTAGGTGGAATTAGAACGAGCTCTAACCTGGAAAATATGAGCCGTGCGTGAGTTTTATTGAGGTCGGGAAAATTGACTTTTCGGGCGACGATTACGGCATTCGAGATGAAGATAATTTCGTATTTTTTTTCGTAATTTCCTATTGTACGCTACCACTTTTAAGTTGATTTAAATTCCTACTCGTTTACGACATTTTTCTACCCACGAATCGGCGATTATTTTTAATCATTTTAGGTTATAAACAGTTTTTGAAGCGCAATTCTTTACATAACGAGACGACGTCGGAAGCGGGAAACGGGGTACAATGCCACACAATACGAGTACACCGTTAAAAATGATTTCGGGTGTTTACCCGAAATCGCTTCTAACGTAATTAAATACGAGCGTTTCCGTTTGCATTGTGAATTTCCAAGAATTCTGCGTATCGAATGATTCGTCGTAGGAAAGCAAAAATTTGAAAAAAAATCAGAAACCGCCCATCGATTACAATGAACACAATAGATATCGCCTCTCTGGCCAGTCGTTTAATATGCAAATCTTATTGTTTCCATCATCTATCTTTGATCTTTCTGTAACTATCGAGGGCCCGTTTATAAAGAAGTTTTTAATGAAGTTAGATAGAAATCCGACACACGTTTAGCGAAGGAAATTTGTCCTAATTTTCACCCCATTTGTATTTTTAATTACTAAAAATCACGGCTCTAGTAAAGAAGAGAACTTTATAGCAAAACGCTTTATATCGACCTTTTTTTCTATTAGAATTTTGCAAAAATAACCATCTTAGAACCATCATTTTCTATTGAAAAGACTGTTATTTTCAATGGAAGTACAAGCTTCTTCCCAATTTCAATCTAAGATAATAATAATGTACTCAAAGTTTAGATGATTAAAGAGTTTTAAATGGATAAAAAAACACGCACAAACTATCTGCTATTGTAGACATTATATCTACAATGGGAAATAATACTGTTTATTCAATATGACAAAATGTTCCTGATGCATTAATTTTAAATGTATTTTATTATAATTTACATTTTCGTTTAAATGCTACAGAAATAACCGAATTTAGTATTTTTCGGTTTGTAATTATATTTTTAAACTATTAAAAATACTATAATGCATACAATATAATTATTAAATAGAAAGATCCATGCAATTCGAATGTTAAAATGTGTTTAACCAACATCAAATCGGCATTTTTTTTGTAAATTTAGGCCGTAAATTAAGCATTTTAATTCTTCTTTTGACTTTTAAATTAGACCCCTTTAAACTATAACATGTTATAATTGGAGAAAATTCAAATTTTAGTACTATTTTCTCATATATTTGAATCCGTAAATCAATCGTTTAAAATCGAGATACTTATTTAAAAGATTGGAAATTATAATAAAAGATCTCAGGCAGATAAGTAAAATAATTGAATATACAAATAATTAGATAAATAAATAAAATTTTTTTATGTAAACTTGAGCCAATTTATTTTTTAAAGCGAAACGACACCCGTATATGGACAATGATCCGGTACTATTACACTATTAAACAGTTATAATATCAGTATAAATGTTTTAACGTTTCAATATCTTATCATCGATTATTGCATATTAGTTATTAAATATTAGCAATACCAAATTTCTTAACGTCAAACAAGCAAGAAAGATATAAATTAAATAAACAAATGACTCAAATATTCAATAATGTAAATTTCGAAAGTCACAGAAAGAATGCAAAGAATTTAATAATAATAATGCTTAGTTTATAACGTTTAAAAACGACATATTCTATTTTTTTCACCTGGAATTTCGCCATCTTCGGCCATCGTTTTTACCTCAGGACATTTTAAATCCATGGCGTGAGAGTTGGAAGAGACAATCGACTCGAGATACGAAACTTTTATCGCTAGATATAACGAATACAGACTGCAATTAAACACCTTATTAAGGTTTATTATACGATATATCTAGATTAATATTATCAGAGACATTAATAAGAAATCTTTAAAGGCGAAAGAAACTTACGTTTATCTCTTCATCCGACTGCAAACTGTTTTTAAACCTCTGTTTAAGCCTACGTCATACACACCAACTCGCATAAATTACATACAAAGAAATGTATTTATTGGTAGGAACTAGGATAGAAATTTAGAGATAAACACAAGACAAAGCGGAATTTTCGCTATCGAGGGGATTAACGATGTTCAAAGTCCTTCAAGAATACAAATTTCTTATTTACTAGGCGTTGTTTCTAAGATAAAAATCATTGTTTGATCTAATTTAATTCCAGGAATTAAATCATTCCGGAAAAATAAAACAGTGAGAAAGTGCACACAAACAAGCGTAGAAAAATAACATTTTAATTCCTCTCGTTAAATTAGATTTCCCTTTTTTTTATTAACTCGTCCTGATTCCAAAAACCGTTGAACGTTCATCTAAAATGGGTTAATGTTATTTTCGAAAACTCGTTATCTTTCGCATACCTTAGGAAAGTCTCTCAATTAATCTATGCTGAGAAAATGATTCCGAATCAATTTTTAACAAATAATATATGATCTACGATTCAATGCGTCGTCTTTAAACTTAGCTATACTTTATGTTAGCAATCAAAACAGGCTCCGTATTTAGAGGGCCCTGTGAAAGATGTGAATAAGAAGCTGCTATTTTAAGGCCGAACATTAACCAAGCGCAGGCCCCACTAAGCAAGATTCCATACGCGAATACATGAATCTCATTCTCACGAAATTAGTGAATGTCGCGAAACGATAACCTAAAACGTTTCTGGCAGGAAAAGAATCGTAAAAATTTACAAGAAACCTTAACAATTTCCCATCGATATTAGCAATAAGAAATTCTTACCCAACGTAAAGTTGAGCAACCTTATCCGGATATAACCTGAGGTTACTTGTTACTCGACTTCCTGAAGAAATAAAAGGGCCGTTGTTTGCTCCAACACAATGACCAGACTGGCCCAATTACAAGTGGGATCGTAACTCGGTAGAACAATATCAAAAGCGAGCAATAATCGTAACTGTGTGCCAGGCAATTTCGTTTTCCGACATCTCCGACTCGATCGACTATTGTCCCGTTATCATCGGTGACCAGCAGAAACGATTTACGTGAAGGAAGTCTTTAAAAGTTGAAAGGTCAAAGTAACGAACACTTACCTACCGGGATACCGGATGCTAATTAATGTCCACTTTACAAAAACCGCGGGAAGTGATCTTTACTATCGACATTCGCATGTTAATAATAGTACCGGTTATTTAAAATACCGAACTGTTTCCGTCGTTAACGCATCTAGACCTTCGAAACACCGCTCCTTACACATTTAACCCTTAACGGACCGTAAATAACCGCGTATGAAATCACTGACGCGTCGTGAAATATCTATAAATCAACAGTTTGCATAATGTAATAAAAACGTCATCCGCAAATCCGCACAGGTAATAATAACATACCATACACACGAGTACAGTCGAAAGGATTTCGTAATCTTGTTTTCGATCCGGAGAGGATTTTTGTTTTTTCATCTTTCAGAAAGTTACTCACCCCTGTAGAATACTCGCAATTATACCAATGAATTCATTTGTTATTATATAAAACAGGACATATAAAAATATAAAATTAATCGTCATATGATGCAATTCTCGTGTAGTGTGCCACAAGTTAGCCACAAAAATTTTTATTATTATTTATGTATTTTTTTAAATAAAATAATATACAGATCTTTAACATATCCTTTCGTTTATACATATAAAAAAACTGGTTTGTCGGTATATTGGCAAAATTTATGAACGCCATTGGCTCAAAAGAGTGAGAATCGCACGAATGTAATAACAGAATGGCAAATTCTTCGTTGGAAGAATAGGTTACATCTTAAACTCGTTTGCACTGGTTGACCTTTACATTTTTGGCCCACATTTTTTAAAAATTCTATTTAAATCGATCGCGATTAAAGCGAATTGGGATGTAAACAGAGAAGGGCATTTAACTGAAACCGGCTATTTAATGAATTCTAAACACGGTAGTTATCCAGTTTGTTTGTCGAATGTTGACATTCGATGCTCTTATTTATTATAGACTACGCTATTTTTTATTATTAAATTATTTTGCAAATAAAGCCCGAAACTGACTAATAATTATAAAGAATAAGCGACTTGAATCCGAATGAATATTCTCCAATCATTCGTGATTTGTTTTTTAATTATACGGAACAGAAATGCCAAGAATTATGTCATCCAACTATCATTAAACTAGCTGAATTTTAAGATTTTTAAGTATTTGTGATAGATGAACCGACGACCAAGAACTACTACTCTGGGGAATCCGGGTTCGAATCCGAGCGAGCAATCCCAGGGGATAGTCGGGCTCTTGGTGAAAAGATCCACTTAGTGTCTGCAGGGCAAAAAGAAAATAAAATAAAAATAATGTGTTGTTTTAAAACTTGTATAAGATAAAATTTTAAATAAGAACTGCACGAAATTAAATGTTAGGAATGACTTTAGCCCAATTCGATATTGGCACAGTGTCCTCCGGGTCACCGTTTTCGAGTGAAGATCCATAATTGGGCAATTCTTAAATATAAGGCAAATAAGAGTCGATTAAGCATCAATTATTTCTTTAATTCTCCTAAATACAATGAAGTTGGTGTCCCGTAGCAATATGGGTCAGCGCAAACAATTACTCGTTCGGCCCACTGTCCCAATAATCGTTTTAAATAATTATCGAAAGCTTTTAAATATTTAACCCTCTAACCAGATGTCAATTTCCACGGTTACGAAAACGGAACTGTGGGATTGAGCCTAACGATACATACCGCCATCTAGCGAGAAGAAATTAAAATGTAAGACTATTTATTTATTTATGCAAATTTTTTCTTAACGAATTTCCTGACATTAATCTAATGAAAACTTACGAAATGGTTTTACAAATATATGAATTAATATTTATATTATTTTTCAAAACACTAAATTACACAAAGAAATAGATTGTTTATTAGGATTACCATACGTCCATACTTTAAAGGCTCTTTAAAGAAACTTTATTTTATATGCCTACATTTACTAGATTGAAAAATATGAATAAATTCTCTTTATTTTGAGTACTTTTAATGCTAATCTGTCAGTATTTTGTCTTCAACTATTATGGTAACCCTATATATAAATATATGCAAGCGTAAAAGATATTCAGAAAACTGGCATTGAATTAATCTATTATTTATTAAGTACAATTTAATTTTTTAATTTACGATTTAATCAAACCATTAAAATTTTGCATATTTTATATCTGCGTGGACAGACAAACACGCGTAAGAAACGATATTAATGCCTCTAATCGCAACCAACGATTAAAAGTTCGAATTCGAAATTAACCAATTAGCATTCGCTTTATCTCGGAAAGTGAATGTTTATTGGTCGATTTCTGAATCTGACTCTCAACCTCGTATATAAATGCAGGAAACTTTCTAAATTAAAAATATATTTTCGAAATTATTTGTTTTAATTATCGCTTGGATAATAATAGATTAATAAGAATATTAAATCATTCTGCAGTTCATTTTGCATGCAAAACCTCCAGTTTATTTGAAGATGTCTAGACGCGAAATTAAGAAAAAATTTTCATAGACAAACATTTCGAAATTAATTAAAGACAATCAGGATCAGATTTCTTTTATCTTTGTTTACGAAACTTTTAATTAAAATTTTACGCTAAGAAGTTCTTAATTTACAATTATACATTATGCAGATTTCTTATACAAAAAAAAAATGATAAATATTATTCTAAACAATTAAGAATTACATAAACAACAACGAAAAAAAACTCTAAAAATAATTAAATTGGAAAAATAGAAATTCTAAATTGATTCCTGGATATTAAATGATTATTTCTGTTGAATATTTGAATGGAAAACAATAATTTTAGTTGGAGTTTTGTATATTAGAAATTACTTTTGTAAAATTTTTAGATTATTTCTGTATATTTATTGTTAATATCCAAGTTAATTTTTAATTTCCAGATCACTAATTTCATTCAAATATTATGTAAGTGGGTAGCTTAATTCAAAAAGTAGTATTTAAATGGCTTTTCAGAAGAGCAAGAGAAAGATACAACTCCTCCAGTTATTTTTTAATCTTTGTAAGGTTAGATAGCGTATAAACTTGCATTCCTATAGGTTTTTTGCATTGTTTTTTCGGGTATAGCCGGTTTTAAAAACCAGAAAACTCATATTGCACAATATTTAATTCAAATAATACTTTGAACTTTAATAAATAAAATACATTTTAATTAAATCTTTGACATTGAAAAAGTAGTACAAATATATTCAAAATGCCATTGAACTAAAAACCTAAAAGCAGTTGACATTTGCAAATATATAAATATAAATTTACTGTAATTAAAATAAAATAGTTTTAACTATAAATTTCCTGTTAAATATTCTATCAGGTATGCGAATTTATGTAAAGTTTTCTCCAATTTTTATACAGTTTTTTTACTTCATCCGACGCCATTTCTATGGTCATTAAGGTAAAGAAACATCTCGTGATGATAATATGTTCAGATCTCTTCAGATTTTCGAAATTAAGAGTAATTTAGTATCATTATGGATGCAAGCAAAATACGAAGGCGTTTTAAAAGCAGACAGGGAAAAGACTGTTATNTAAATTTATAATTAAATATTTTTTGAAAAATTCTTATCAAATATAAGTTAATTTACATAAATTTACATATAGAAATTTAATTTTACGACTAACAAGACAGGTATATTCGTGTACAGAAACATTTTTTAAACAGTTAAAACTTGTACCGTTACACAAGGTCAATTTATTCTTTAAAAAATGATTTATTTATTCTTCATTCTTTAAAGTATTATTTAAAAAGCCGTTAGTCATTCTAAAACATTCTGAAATTGTCAGACAATATTTAATTCTCGTTAACACAGAAGGTGATTCGATCTACTGGAGTGAATCCAAATGGATCTACATTATCAAAATGAAGCGATTCTTCTTTAAAACAATCGAACGAAGTCCAAGTTCAATACAGGATAAATATCAGGACATGAAATCCACGTTCCATATCGAGTGCTCCCTAGAAAAACACAGTATCTATCAATGACAGATACTGTGTTTTTCAATGGTGCAGCCGAAATGTAGGCTACTCCTTATCAATCGCATTCGTTCGGAAATCATATTGAGGGAGGCACCACGGGTGCGATACGCACAGAAAAATATGTAAATAAAATTAATTTTATAGCTATTTAAATTATTCAATATATTATTTTATATTTTAATACCAAGAAGTTTACAAAGAACCCATTGTTTACTTTTGATAAAGGCGAACTTGATCATCGAATCACCCACTCGTGCCGGTTATCTACAAGTTTTTAATTAAAAAAAAAAATTAATAAATCAACTCGAATTTTTCTTTGGTTTTGGAGAATTTATAGAAATTTATTATTAATTTTTTTAAATCCGAAATAATAATATAACAAATTACGTATCAAACTAAGTAAATCCTTCACTGTGAAGTATGCTGTAGAATAACGAAAGAAAGCTATTTTGACCAGAAACTAGACAATGAAACAAGTCCTAAATTGAAGAAGAATGATGATAAATTACCTTTTCTTCTTCTTTTTCCCCCTTTTTTTTATCCTTTCAATTACCAGACTCACTACTTAGGATTGCGGCAGTTCACATTGATAAACAATATAAACATTCGATAAAAGCAATGCAGTATTTTACGTCTACAG